TTGACCTCATTTTTGTAAAACATGAACATTTTAGCCCAAACACCTGATTTATTCACCTAATTTTGCCCAGGTGCCCCTCCCAACCATTTGCCCAAAATCCACTAGCATTCTTTGGGTTAATCTGAGCTATCTACAACCGTAATAATGCTTATAGAAATACATAAGCTTGTTCATAACCTTATCCTAGAATTCCTGAATCAGATTTCAAAATGAATAGTTGCAAATATTGAAATGTCTATACTTTTTTGGTATCAAGGGGATTACATTCAGTTCTACATCAGTGCATTCTGTTCTATTTGCTATAGCTTATCTTGATTTTGCTGCAAGCAATTCTTTTCCGAGGACATATGTGCAAGTTTAATTTTACATTAGAGACCATAAAACCATCTTATTTAAAGGATCTATAAAGGCCTGAAGTCTTAATTCTGAGTTTTTAATTTTCCCATTTAAATTGAGACAATACAAAACAAATTATGGAACCTGTATCACTATAATATGTCTACTAGGGATGTTAAATATCGATTAACAGAATAGTGATTAACCTCATGAATTATTATCGGTTAGTCAACTATTCTATAGTCCCCAGGCAGTGCCGGTCTGGGAAGGAGGTGCCTAAGCTCCCAGACCCGGCACGAGCCGGAACTGAGCCGGGCTACCTGCTGGCTCCTAATACACTTTAAATGAAGAGCCATTGCAGAGATAGGTTCTGGACCTGGCAGGAGCCAGAACTGATAGCCTAATAAAAAATGTACTGGCAAGTGATGGGGGGAAAATGTGTGTAGTCTATAGCATTAACCGATAAGCTTTTGCTTATCGGTTAATCAACTCTACTATTACATCCCTAATGTCTACTGCTCAAAACAGAAAGAATAAACTAGGCAGTAAATTCATTTTGATTAATGAGATTTTAATCAATCAAGAAATAGTACATTTATTCTGAGTTTCCATAACTCCCCTGATCTGTGTCAACAATGACATTTATAATTACTTTCATTCAACTGGCCCCTAACTGAATGGCAATTGCTTACCTCTGTTAATTTCAATTTATGTTTTTTAAAGAAATATGTTCTCCTGATTTGTAATTTAATCTCATAATCAAACTTCCCATAATCTGAAACCCCAAAGAATTTCCAAAAAGGTTGCTTTCCAACTGAATGGCCTGTAATTATGTTCTTGGCCTAGATACAAACATTACACAGTGAGCAAACAGAGCTAATTTTTGGCTGGTTTTTTCCCACTTCTATTACTTTAATTAGTTGATTATATCTAATTTTCTGGGCAAATGCTTCTATTTCCATAGCAAATAATGACAATCATGGGCAGCCTTGTCTGGTTCCCCTAAACATGTCAACTCGTTCAGAAATACAACAACTCTTTCCTGAGGTTGTCCATTTTAGGAAATTTGTATTGCATCCACATCCAAACTGATCAGCCCATATTACCTCAAACACATCCTATAATAACAACAATTTAGTTTTTTTCTCCGCATTCTAAATAAATCACTCTGTGTTCTTTTCATATTGTCTGTTAATTGCCTGTCCTTGATCATTTGTTCCTGTGTATGCAGTTAGGAAACATAGTTAATATTTTATCTAGCACCTTGGCAAACAGAGAAATGTGATTTTAAACTGACAGCACCCCATTAAGCAATCACAGAGAACTTCAAAGAACAATAATTCTCTAGATGATTCAATTCTGGCAACACTAATAATAGAACAAGGCAAATTATTATAAGTTTGGGTTTTTTTTCTTAAGAATCAAGCCACAAAATTTAAAGTATTATGAAACATTAGTAACAAGGAGTTCTGTAGCGCTTAAAGACTAACACATTTATTTGGGCATTATCTTTTGTGGTGTGGAACCCACTTTGTCAGATCTGTATCTGACAAAGTGGGTTCCAACCCATGATAGCGTATGCCCAAAGTCTTTAAGGTACCACAGATCTCCTTGTTTTTGCTGAAACTGACTAACACATATACTCCTCTGCAACTTGAAACATTAATTAGATGCACCTAGGGTAGGAAAGACTTTAATTTTTATTTAATTTTCAAATACAGCAAGTCCTCTGCAGTGAGATGCCTTTTTATGCCTCAGTAATAGGGCACTTGTGCCTCTTTAAATAATAATTTACATTTATATAGAGTCTTTCATTTAAAATCATTGTAAACAGCTTTGGAAACTGATTATGGATAGGACATTGTGGGCAGGACAGTGCTTATGAACTGTAAACAAAAGTTCATAAACTTTAAATGCGACTGATACCTATGTGCAGGGCTGTCCCTAGAAAAGTGGGAGCCTATGGCAAATCAGCCTCTAAAGGCCCCTTTAACTTTTTTTATATAGATGAAATCTGGTTACAGTGAACATCAAGGGCATTTCCAGGCTACAAGTTAAATATTAATAGCACCCAGATGTATAATCATGATGTAGTTATATTTTAGTTTTTAAGTATAATTATAATGAAGTTCATATAATTTTTAAAAAGTTACTAGGGGGCAGCACTGTCCCAGGACTGAGTAATATATGGACCCTCTAGCGAGAGGCAAGTGCCCGGGATGAGGCTGAAAGATCCCGGACTGTGGAATGCTGCCACCCAGCTGCACTCACCCCTTCACCCTCCCCCGGCACCACCTCTTGCCTCTTATCCTACCACCACTGCAGGCCCCTATCTCTGGGACAACCAGCCATGGGGCCCATCTGGGGACAATCACTGCCACTCCAACGCTGCAGGACAAATCCAAGAACTAACGCGAGGAGCCCCCCACGGGGGGGTCCCAATGAACAGACATGCACACTCTCACAGGTGTGTGTGAAGTATTGCATTTGACACTGAGATGTCGAAGCACAGAGTCCAAAGCAGTTGCCTCCATTTGCCCTATCTAAGAGTCAGCTCTGGCCCACATGCAAAGTGCTGTCTTTGGTGAGAACTAAAATACAACTGACCTGTAGCAAACGACAGGCCCTATCACAGCAGGTGAATCTACTGTATTTAGCTTTCCTGCTTTTGCAGGTTGCTTCTCTGTGTTGTGTAGAGAACCAGGAGATATGTCCCTTGAAAAACCAAGTATATTAAAAATCATCTCTCTAATAAGGGGAATCATATTCCTTTCCTGTTTTGAGTTTGAAACCCCCAATCTCACCCAAAAAACAAACCTGAACATTCACCAAAAAAGGAAAACAAAATGTTAGATTTCAATGTTTAGATTTAAAAGACTATTCTGGTGTCATTGCATGGCTAAAAATGAAAATAACATAATCATTGTATGCAGTCACTAACCCATATGCTGCAATGTGAGAACAATACTTATGAAGTTACTTGACAACATGGTTAAAGAATTTGAAGTATGTTTGCATAATTATTTCTAGGGTGTATGACATTTTCAAAAAATGTGTACATTGCTAGAATTCCAAATTAGAATAAAAATTATTTTAGTATTTGTCATAATTTAATTCATATTAGTGTTCATATATAATATATACCGTCATACTCCAGGGGGCCTCTTTGTCTGGATATAATGATCCATGGCCCAACATGTGAACCACTTGCATTTTCCTATGTAAATAGCCCTAGTCAGGGGCGGCCCGTGAGTCTAGGCAAGCTAGGCAGCTGCCTAGGGCGCCGCTGGACCGGGCGCCCAATGATGATGTCACCACGGGGCACCGGGGCACCCTGTGATGACGTCATGGCCGTGCAGACAGGGGCACCGATTGCGCCGCCCAACCTAGGGCCCCAGCTGCTGCACAGAAAGAACAGCTGAACACTAGCAAAATCAGCAGAGCCTGTGGATGAAAGTTCTGGCAAATACAACAGTGCTCCTTTATATGGGTTCCCCAAGGCACTGCAAACAACTCTCATGCGGGGCACTTACAGTCACAGACCTGTTACATGATGAGCAGGGCTTGAAACCTGGAGATCATAGAGCTGGAAGAGACCTCAGAAGGTCATCAAGTCCAGCCCCCTACCCAAGGCAGGACCAATCCCAACTGAATCAACCCAGCCAGGACTTTGTCAATCCAGGATTTAAAAACATCTAGGGATGGAGATTCTAATAATGCTTAGAAGTATTTACCAAGGTGCACAAGTTTAAACAGATAAGGAAAAATGCTAACCACTAGCAAAGCAAAGGACAGGGGCACTCCAACTGATTAGCACTGGTGAGGTAAACTGAGAGAACACAGGGCTGGTGGCAATGCCCGATAACCTGCAGCATGAACATCGCAGTCCATGGCGCACCATAGCCAGCCCTACAGGTACTCTTAAGACAAAGGCTGAAATGGTCAACCAAGTGGGCGTATGCACACCTACAACTGACAAACAAGCACTCAAAGAATGACTGATCTTTGACAATGCACAGAAGCTTTGTAACTTACACCATGATTCTCAAACTACAGTTTATGGCCATCAGTTATCTAAAAGCCTTTCCTGATAATCTGCCTGATTAGGTAACCCATGCAGAAGAGGCACTGTGATATGGAGAGGATTGGTGATCCATGAGAGGATGCTCCACTCCAACAGTGGTCCACAGAATGAAATGTTTGCAGAACCATTGCTCCAGATGACCATGCACTGGAAATCATGTGATCAGAACAGGCGCCAACTCTCTTAATTCTTAAATATGCTTTTCAATATTTTATATACAAATCCTTTACCAAGATCATATTCTTTCAATAAAGAGACAAAATTAAAATATTCTGCAATTGGAGGCTGATGTTACCAAGCAAATCTTAAATAAGAACCAGCACTTTAGAAACAGGGCTATACAGTGGTTGTTATCAAGGCAAGCAGAAAGTTAAATGTCAACCATTACCATGGATATAGGTCATTGGTTTCTATTGTTAATTAATGCCATCCAGCAGCTACTCACATTAGGAGGTAACGTTTATTAATCACAATTTCAATTTTTAAAACAGTTCTGTAACCCTTGCCACTTTGCAGCCCCACAAACTGAAGTTCTTCTATCTAGCTTACTCTAGAAAACAAATGAATAAATAATGTTTACCTTTGTGATAAGAATTCTGTATTTGTCCAGCATAGCCTGGTTGTCATGGCATCCTGCTAGCAACTGCCAAACCTCCGCCCTTAGTGCCTCTGGAACTCCACTCTTCACCAGTGTAGATAGTCCTTTTGGTCGCATAGTAAGGTTATTGTGCCTGAGAAAACAAATAAGTGTTTACCTCTTCTATACGAGGAGACAAAAAATATCCAGTATGAGAAATACATGGAAAGTATTCTGAATATGGGTGTTATTCCGAAAAGCAGTCACCACTCATTCAAACCATAAACATTTATTTCATAGCTCATATTTGCAAGTACTTCTCAAGTTACTAGCAAAACTGCCACAAGAATGTCCAGAGCCCTGTGTAGATGCAAAAATGTATAGCCGCATCTGTAGCCATAAAAATGAGCTGCAGATATGTGCACTGGCATCTGTGGATGCAGACACTCCTGGATATAAAGTGGATATCTGCAAATCTGCAGGGTTCTAGATACATAATTTGTACCTGCATCCATCTCTGCAAATATGAGTTGCGAATACCCACATCCGTGGCTATGGATACCGGTGGATATTAAGAGGATATCTACAGATTTGCAGGACTCTAAGAATTCCTACCAGGAATGGTAACAAAATTTATTCAATACCCACAAACAAAATGTGCTCAGTGCCCAAAAGGTCTATGAGTAGAGAGATTTAGTCAAAACTAAGAAAGTGAAGAAGTGAAGAAGGAGCAAATCTAGACACTGATAAATGAAATGCATTGCAGGCAAGTTGAACAATCTGCAGTGAATAGAACAATTTGACTATTTATACACATAAATATGAGCTCATAAATATGAGCTCAAAATTAACTATTTAGGAAAAAGATGTAGTCATCATGGAAGTTCAATTAAAACATCTGCTCAACATACCACCGCAGTAAAAAAGACAAATAAAATACACTAGGTTTTATAAAAAGTGGCATTGTGAATATTTTAATACCTTTATTATGGAGGCACTAGTTACAGCACCATAGTTAAGGCTGAGTTGTGTTTTGCATATAAAACAGGGATTTAATCTCTTTGTTATATATGAAGAGTACACTGTGTTTCCACCAAATTACAGCACTTCCTCTCAATACTGAATTAATTTTCTAAGAATTTAGAAGTAAATCCATTAATAATGGAGTTGAAATTAATTTAAAGTGGATATTTAAAAAAAAATTAGCACTTCTCTATTAGACTTCTTGTCCACTGCTTTTCCACTGACTGCCACTCCCAGTCTTGAAAATGGAAAAGGTTCACACAGGGGTGGGACATACCTTTATTTTTTTTTTTTAAATTAACACATCATTAACCTATGGAACTTACTTCAAATATTGAGGGAAAGGACTTATGAGAATTTTAAAAGGATTGCATGAATGATAACATCACTAGTACCACTTGCAATTACATTAACTTGATTGGTTTGATTGACTATGACATATCAATAATATTTCACAGAAAAATCCCACCCAACCAGTCACCTAATGTTAGGATGCCCCAATGGTTTTATCTAGCATGGCAATTTCCAAAAATACAGCAGGAGATCATTCTCTGAATTGATTCTTTGCCTTGTATACATTAGGCAGCGTGTCTACACTGTGCTCTTCTTTCAGCCTTGTGTGGTATACACACACACAACGCCCCTCCCATCCACAGATAGGTATATGTGGAGGTTGTGACAGTAATACACAGTTTAGGTGAGTAAAGAAACCCCTGAAGGATATAGGCACATACTTGAGTATATAACCTACATGGCTCACTTCTCACCAAAAAGTCCTGCGGCACCTTCTAAACTAACAGATTTATTGGAGCATAAGCTTTCATGGGCAGAGACTCACTTCATCAGATGCAGCACAAAAGTTTATGCTCCAAATAAATCTGTTAGTCTACAAGGTGCCACAGGACTTCTTGTTGTTTATGCAGATTCAAACTGTATGTCTACACTACAAAGCTAATTCGAACTAACAGCCGTTAGTTCGAATTAACTTTCATAGCATCTATACATACAAACTGCTAGTTCGAACTCAATTCGAACTAGCGGAGCCCTTAATTCGAACTAGGTAAATCTCATTCTACGAGGACTAACGCCTAGTTTGAATTAAGTAGTTCGAATTAAGGGCTATGTAGCCACTTAATTCGAACTAGTGGGAGGCTAGCCCTTCCCAGCTTGCCCTGGTGGCCACTCTGGGCCAAACCAGGGAAACTTTTCTGCCCCCTCCCGGCCCC